GTGTTTAAAGAAAAAAAAAACTCTAATATTGAATCTCTTAAATTTAGTGTATGTAAACAGCTTTCGATATGTATTGTCTAAATGCATTTAAATCTTTTACTTAAAAGCTACAGCAAAAATATTGGTATGTGACCATGTAAGACTGTCAATGCCAACAAAGACAACACTAATCAGCATACCCTACATTGGATTGCACTGCTCTCCAAATTATTTGAAAAATGCATTACAGACAACTTGCCTGACTTTTAAATGAGCATAAAAGGCCCTCTAACCTATGCAGGTTTCCTCATTACGCATATAGAAAATGCTAGTGTGTTTTTGCTCACTTCATATGTAACAGGTGCCCTTATGTTGTGCTGTATCCTGTGCTTTTTCTGTGGGACCATTCCATTCAGGAACAAAGCGCACCATGATTCCAATCTGTGTGTATTTACTAACCCTTCCCTGAGGTTTGTGTATGTTGGATATTGTGGTGTTTTAGATCACTGAGTGTACAGAAGAGAGAATTCAAACAAAATATTGCTGTTCTTCAGTTTTGTTTGTGGAATTTGAAATTACTCAAATTTAAAATAAATTACTGGACTGTGGAAATAACATGTAGAATGGCAGTTTTAATTAAATAATCTCTCAAATTTAAACCAAAAGAACCATGGTTGTGATAGTTTCATATTGGATACTGAGGCGCAGTACAGTGAGGCAGGAGCACAGAAGTGGAATGAGGATTGGGACATGTGAAAACATAGCATTGCATCATGTGCATTACTGTAGTTAATAAGGTACATGCAGTAGTCTGAAGAAACAGCACTGTAGTGGGCTACATTTTGGCTATCTCCATCATTTTAACCAAGTGGTACCTTAGGTTTTTCTCTAACCATTTCACTTAAATGTACAGATCATGGATGTTCTATTAACTTGAAATAAAAGTATATAAGCATGTAGTTAACATACTGTCCCTTATCATGAATAGTAAGGGCCCCCACATTATGGGTACTTTAAGTCGATTTTTTTTTTTTTTAACCAGTGTTTGAATTCAGCCCTTTTTGTTTATGGCTGAGAATATTACTTTTAAGTTCATTTCATTGTTAATCCTCAATAGAGTTAGCCCCCTACCTAGCCTGTATTGCCCTGTAATTCTCTACATAGGGCAAATGACCATAAGCTGCATGGAAGGCTTTTTTCTTTTTTTTTTAAACTTAGAACCCCTGCCCTTCCCCACTTTTAATCATCCCACCCCTTATTTTCCTATCAAAAATTATAGTATTAGCTGGAAAATTCCTTTTTTGGTTTTTCATTCTGCAAACATCTGGCTGTACTTGTTTCTGCTGGATCTCTCTCCCCCCTCCCCCCCTTTCTTCATCATTATCAAAATCATGAGGGAGAATAGCAATGATCCCTGGGAGTTCATTCATTTCAGAGTCAAGATTTGTTCTTCTGGACCTTTCCTGTACTTTGCATCAGCTGTGGGTTTGTTTTTGTTTTTGTTTTTCCAATGGAATAATTCATCTCTTTTCCTTAAGTTAAATATTTATTAAAGGTGTTCTTACAACTTTAAGAAATAAAAAAAAGCCTTTTTAATGTGATACTATGTCCAATGATAGTTTTCACATAAACCATCCATAATGGGCTATCGTAGAAAGAAACTGTGGTGTATGACATAGGTTCAAATCCTGAGCAAGCTGAACCTCTGAACATGTTCCCTCTTGTGTATGTTAACATGATGAGTACTTTCCAGAATTATTTTCAGGAGTATTTTTAAATCTCAAAATGCCTACCTACCTCAAGACTTGGCAGTAAAGTATTATACAACAAGTGGTAGACCAAATTGATCATTTATTTTAAGATGTCTTCCCAAACATTACTCTGAATAGGATGATGGTCTGGGAGAAGGAACTAAAAACAGGGCATTAAGAGTTCTTATAATTCTCTAAATTTAACTGAAACAGGAGGGAAGAAGGGGGAGAGAGATTTAATGGGAAACCTCTCAGGAGGTAAACATGTTTTCAGTGATCTTTGTACCGTTGTACCAAAAAATCCGATACTTGTTGATATTCAACATAGACATTGTACAACTTAGTACAATAGGAACACACTGACATGATCTCCAAGTAGGGCTGCTTGAATTTTCTGTAAATTGATTTAGTCATGCAGACATTCTCACACTAGTGGTTCTCAAACTTTAAGATCCTTTTGTACTCCTAAATTATTGAAGGTCCCAAAGAGCTTTAAGTGGAATTGTAGGTGTTGATATTTACTGTATTAGTATTTAAAACAAATTTTTAAAATTCATTTAGGGGCGCCTAGGTGGCTCAGTCATTAAGCGTCTGCCTTCAGCTCAGGTCATGATCCCAGGGTCCTGGGATCGAGCCCCACATTGGGCTCCCTGCTCCACGGGAAGCCTGCTTCTCCCTCTCCCACTCCCCCTGCTTGTGTTCCCTCTCTTGCTGTGTCTCTCTCTGTCAAATAAATAAACAAAATCTTAAATTCATTAAATATAACTTAAACTCATTGCATGTTAAACAATTATGAATCAACCATATTGCTCAAAACGAGTGGTATTGCACTGTTTTTTGCAAGTCTCTAAAGTTCATCTTCACAGAGGACTGCTGTATTCTCATGTTTGCTTCTATATTATATCAGTATATTCCATTTTTAAGTATGTGAAGAAAGTCTAGCCTCATGCAGATAATGTAATTAGGAAAGGAAAGGAGTACCTTTTGAGATACTTGTCGTTAGTTGAAATGTGGAATCTGAAACCGTTAACACTGAACTTTTTGTGATGTTATATTAAAAATCCATTAGTCTCTCTGAATGGATCTTTTACCCATGCATGAAAAGAATGAACTCCCAGGGATCATTGCTATGGTTATATCATGCATTGGTTATATGGAAAATACTGATTCACTAAGTTGTACAGGTCTTCTAAATATTGACAAGTGTCTTTAAAAAATTTGTGAGGAACACTGATATCATCAGAAAAGTCTTGGGAAAAAGTTTTGGGAAACTTGGGAGGAGAGGCAGAAGTTTTCCAGAATACTGTCAGTTGTTTTCCTTAAAATGATTGGGTCATTTAATTTATGAGGAAATATCTGCCAAACACCCAGGTGTGGATGGATAACTAGTTTGTCAGTTCTTTCAAGTAAAAATCTTCTATGACACATTTTTTTCAAGACAACATATTTCAGTGTGTACCAGAAGTGTTTAATATTACAGAGAATATTAAGACAAATAGAAATAGTCAAGGGTCAAATTTTATTTTTACTGCTTTATCAAGGACATTAAGTGACTTTTTTTTTTTTTTTTTTTTACCGTGAGTATAGGGCAGTGAAGTACTACTTACATAGGTAGGGTGCTCCTGTCTTGATTTGTGAAAGGTGCCAACAGTTTTACCCACCTTTGCAAATGTCAACACAGCAAAAAAAAGAAAAATGTCTTAGTATTATGAAAATAGTTTTGACCCCATGGAAGTATCTTAAGGACCCTATGGGCTCTGCAGATACCCTGAGAACTATAAGATTAAGCACCCTGTAAAATAAATACTAAATCCAGGTGAACTAGGAAATAAGCATAATGTATTTCCAGACTTACTAGAATTTGTGTACAGTTCATCCTAGTAGATGTACCATGATTTCTTACAGTTACTTGAGTCAGCCACAGCAGGCCATCCTGCTGGGAATGCACGGTCTTTGAACTTGGAGCCATCCGTCTCTGAGGCAAGCCTCAGAAATTACTGAGCTAGAATCATGCATTTACGATTGAGTTCTCATCTCAGTTACATGCTGTTGCATCACTTTTGAATCTAGTATAAACATTCTATTTAGAAGCAGTGGCTACTGTGGCATCATTCACAGATGGAATTTCTCCTGTGCTGTCATGCCAGCATAAACTCTATAAAATTGACTAAATATTAGAAACTAAGACTGGCTGCAGTAATCTTTAGTGTTCTGCCCAGACTCCACTGACCTTAGACCTTTAAGTTGTGTTATCGTGCTGCTTATGTTGAAGTTAAATGCTAACTAATGCTAACTGTTGAAGTTAACCATGAAGAGTTGGAGCTACTTAACGTGCATCTGTTAACCAAAATTCTCTCTGGCATCATCACTTCTTAGGGATATACTCAATTTAGAAATACTGTCAGGATCCCCTCTAAAAGGCTTTCCTACACGAAGCTATAGCTTTTGGGAACTGGGAACTCCTTCATATTCTGGGCAGCTGGTATAATAGTAATTACTGGAATTATGTCATGATGCATATAAAGATCAAAAGGGAAATAAAGGTGCCCTTAATAATTGGTTCCTTAAATTCTAGGGTAAAGAAACAGTAGGATGTTGGGATGACACACTACATTAACTCCACAATTACTGTAAATTCTTATGTGGGCCCAGTAATACCTTCAAAGTCCATACAAGTCACTTTACAAGTTTTTCAAGGCCTTTGCTATTAGGAAAGTTGGGGGAAGTAAAAGGAATTTTTATAGGCCATGATGTAGAAGCACTGCGGAGAACCTTCGGCCAGTGTGGGTCAGGGAACATGAAGTACTGCACAGGTGGATTATATCAACTGCTATAAAACCTCAATTTTGAGACAAAAAAAATCCAGGTTAGATTGTAAACCCATTGTGTGGGGTTACACCATGATCTGTTAATGTTGGCTATCACTCATCCGAAAAGTGATGGCAGGAAAACTATAGTTTGCATCCAGTGAGAATACCCTTGAACCCTAGCCCTTCAAGGGGGTACAGCAACACTGTTTTGGGGAATAAGAGCTATTTAACACATAGGGACCCAACTATGCAGAGGAAATGCTCCCCCGCCTCCCCCTGCCCTTGTAACCCAATCTTGTGACCAGTTTCTCTCAAACATTTTTTGTTTCAGCAGCTATCACTTGAACCATCAGGATCATTTAACCAACTTTTTTTTTTTTTAAGCCCAAGATAACTAACTGAGCCAAGTACGTGATAGAACGTGGAAACGGATTTTCATCTCAAAAATACTTAAGCTGGATGGGGGGAGAAATTCAGCTTTTATTGTTAGAATTTAACAGTTTCAAAGCACATCTTGGTGGGACCATCATACAGAATTCCACCTAGTAAAGTTTTAGGTGGCCAGTGACCTTGTCAATTAGATCTGCTGGTCCTGGCCCAATTCCCAGCACAGTTCTAGAACCTGGTGCAATCTGAGTACGTCCAGCATCTTGGATTAAACTTACAGTCAGTCCTAGCATTTTCGCATGGGTCAATAATTCAACCAGAGTTTCTTCATCAGGGGCTTTGACCACCACTTTGGGCTGGCCACAGTATTCCCATTGTTTGAGCAATTCAGGGTTTCTCCTTTGAATTTGCTTGTAGGCAGAAACAGCAGCATGAGAGCACTGGGCAGCCACCTTCCCTTTTCCCATCTTTAAGTCATTTCGAACCACAAGAATCATTTTGCACTCCCCACTCTCTCCTAAGATGCTTGCTTCACTTCCGGTCTCTGTGTCTGTCTCGCTCAGTGAGCTTTTGGGGATCATCCCAAAGCGTACACGGAGGCCCCAGCCCAGGCACATGCCACATGCAACTCCAGCAGCCAAGCTAAGTGCACCAGGATGAGTCAAATATTCCATCACCAAGGATCTGGAGAGCATCTTAAAGGAAAGGAAAAAAGTTATCACTACATAGCAGTGAAAAGATACAGGCTTATCAGACAAGACACCTTGACAATATATATAAGCAACAACATTTTAAAACTATATGAGGTCATCCAGAAAAAAAGCAAAATATATTTTGGATCTTAATGTACTGTTTTTTTCTCCCCCGTGTTTTCTAAAAGATTGAAGAATACAGGTAAAGCAGTTTAGGTCATTTTGAATCTCAACATAAGGATTATCTATCTTGTTCTTGGATACAATAAAGCTTTGTTGCTCAGTGTTCCCTAAGTCTTGTAGAGGAAGGAAATACTCCATTTCACCAAGCTGTCTAAAGGACCCAAGGAAACCAAGAATAATTCATCCCTTCTCTGGAATACAGTGCTCATCTAATTGTGTCTTCATAATCCAGTGGTTCTCAATGGGGACGGTACCAACTGCTCAGAGAAGTTTCTGGCTGTCACAACAACGGACCTGGAGTGAGGTGCACTGCTGACATTTACTAGACCTCAGCATGGAATGCCAAAAGTCTTACGAAGTGAAGATTTGTCCCACTGGAAATTATAGGTGAAAAATGATTAATATCTGAGACTAGAACCCAACTTCATTATACATATGGACACAAAGTATTTTTTGCATAGTTGTAATATACACTGAGTTTACCAGAAGTATAACTGTCATATAAAACAAAGGAAGATCATCCTTTATCCTTTTTATTTTAGAAATTCCCGTTCCCTCAGCAAGGCTGTTGATGGTATTTGGGTCACCAATAAAACACCTATATCAGTCTACATTTGAGGCTGTTGGACTCAATGCTTCCGTGTATAGGCACAAACAGCTATCAGTTTCTTCTAGTGGAAGAGTAAGCATTTATATACTGAAATACATGGGGCCACCATATTTGTAGTGCTGACACGTAATAACCTTGATTATGCATTGCATAATCTACATGGCATAGACGGCAGTCAAATTTCCTTTTCTCATTTATGTTAAAATTAGGACATTAATGTTTTTGAAACTGCCTGGTTGGCTCAGTCGGTGGAGCATGTGCCTCTTGATCTCAGGGTTGTGGGTTCAAGCTCCACACTGGGTGTAGCGATTACTTAAAAATAACTTAAAATTTTAAAAAATAAATGAGGATAGCATAGGAGATGTTAAATTTTTTGAGATAAAATCCACATACTACAAAATCTACCTTTTTAAAGTGTATAATTTAGTACAATTTTTAAAAATATATCCACAAGGTTGTGCAACCATCACCACTATCTAATCCCAGAACATATGCAGTGCCTCAGAAAGAAACCTCTATACCCATTAGCAGCCGCTTCCTATTTTGTCCAGTCCTGGGACCCTGGCAATCACTAATCTACACTTTGCCTATTCTGGACATTCATATAAATCAAACCATACAACATGTAGCCTTTTGTTTCAAGCTTCTATCACTTAGCATGTTTTCAAGGTTCATCCATGTAGAGGCAGGTATCAGTACACTTCATTCCCATGTTCTTAATGCTGCTCTATTTTGCCTTTCCCAATAGTCTAGATGAGGTGATAGTCACTTAGACAAGAGAAGTGTCAGTGAAAAAGGAAACAAGTGGCCAAGGCACATCTGTATGATCTAGTGACTCACTGGAGGTCTGGTGATAAAAGAAAGGGAGAAGTTTAGAATGACCTGGATTTGAACAAATGGAGAACAGAGGTACTATTTACTGATGAAGAGGATTTTTGTGAAGTAGCAGGTTTGAAAGTAAAAGATACTGAAATCAGTTTAGGATATATTACACTTGGTTTGACCAAAAGACATCCTGGTTAGAGATGTCCAGCAACAATAAAAAAGGATATACCATCTTAAAGGTCAGATGATAAGCCTAGGCCAGAAATACAGATTTAAGAAAACAACATATATCTGAAGTTACTGAAGTGATGAAAGTGGTTGGGCCATTGGGACAAGTATACAGAGTGAAGGAAGGGCTAAAACAGAATCCTAAAGAAATGAACATTGAGGGATCAAAAGAGAGTGACATGGAGTGGCCAGAGGTAAGAGGGTCACACACGTTAAGTTGTCAGTACCCAGTTTCATTCCTTTCACTGGTTTGACATCTGGTGACAGGGCTGTACTGACATAGTACTTTATGGCTTTAGATGCCTTTGCAGTCAGAAAAAAATATATTAAATTCTTATTAGAACCTACATTATCTCATGATGCATCTATCATTTACTACATGAGGTTTACATGTCAGCAGGACTTCTCTCTGATAATCTAACTAGACTCCAAAATGAACAAAAATTCAATTACATAAAAATTATATATATATAACCTCCATGTCAACAATCAGAAGGATCTTCCCCACCAACTTCTAGGTTGTAAAGTAACCAAATATCCTATATACCAGATTCAGGTATTATCTGGAGAAGGGAACTGCATATAGAGGACCTATTACGTGTTGCATAAATTACTAAACCCTTTACTTCCATTATGGCTGTTGTGAAAATAAGAAAAAAGACATAAGCCTCATATTAAAGACAAGAAAAATAAGGATCAGGGGCGCCTGGGTGTCTCAGTCATTAAGTGTCTGCCTTTGGCTCAGGTCATGATCCCAGGGTCCTCAGATCGAGCCCCACATGGGGCTCCCTGCTCGGCAGGAAGCCTGCTTCTCCCTCTCCCACTCCCCCTGCTTGTGTTCCCTCTCTCTGTGTCAAATAAATAAATAAATCTAAAAAAAAAAAGAAAAATAAGGATCCAACAGAGAAGCTGCTTATCCGCAGTAACATAACTAGCAAAAGTGGTATAAAAGATACTCATCTAGAGATCATGACAGAAAACTTCTCATCTTCTTAACTTTATCTAAAAACATATACCAGTAAGAGCAAAAACCGAAAGCAGAAAAAGTTCCAGAAATTACCAAGTTTACTGCTTCTGTACCATTTCATGAGGTCTCTAACATGTTAATCCTAACATCTTTATTCTTTAGGATGTTCTAATCTCCTATCAGCCTGATCACATTATCATCTAACTCCAAAAGGTGTTTCAGCCTGTCCCCCTACTTCCACTACAAACATATCAATAAACCCAGTGCTCCCCTCCTGAACCACACTCTACCCATTAATCCCACTCCACCGGCCTTTCCAACCTAAAAAAAAAACCTTTCCAAAATCCTCTTTGACCCTTAAACCACTGCCTGACTTTCCCTCTTCCCTTTACCTCTAAACTTCTTTAATTACCTGCTTCCCTTCCCCACTCAATTGAAATTGCTAAGGCATTAGATACTTGCTAATTGCCAAACAGAGTTGCCTTTTAGGCCTCATCTTGAGCTTTCCCCACAACTCACTGATAATTTTTCTTTAAACTTTCCTCCCTAAAATTCTTTAATCTGTCACCCTATCTTTCTGATAGGTTTTTTCCAATCTCCTCTAGCTCTATGTCCTGTTCACCCCCTATGTACATAATTACCCCTGCTTAACATTTGGATGCCCTTTCAGTCTATACCTACATTGTCCAATATAGTAGCCATCAGTCAAACATAGTTATCTAAACTTAATTAAAACTAAATAAAAATTCAGTTCTTCAGTTGCACTGAGCCACATTTCAAGTGCTCAACAGCTCAACAACTTAAAAGTGGCTAGCGGGCCACTCTATTGAGATCTAGAACATTTCCATGAAATTTCTTTTGGACAGTTATGGTCTATATACTCTCTTTCCATTCAATTGATACTTATGGAGGGCCTGTTGTGTACCAGGCACTGTTCTGGATCCTAAAGATAGAGCACTGAGCAAAACAAAGTCCCACTCTTAATAGAGCTGACATCTAGGAGAGAGAGACAATCTCATTTATTCTCAAACTGTCATATGCTGAGGACTCCTAAAGTCTCTCCTGGTCTCGAATCTTGAATTTCCAGCTTCTGCTAGAGTACTATGAAGTTTTCTACTCTTCGTCCTAAACTGAACTCAGTATCTTCCTTTCCCTCTCAAACTTCTGTATTCTTGATTTCTGAGTAACCCTGGACTTTTTCTCCTCTGTCCTACCACATACAGTTACCAAACCTTGTTGAATTTATCTGTGTTAAACCTATCTCCTTACCTTTACTACCAGTGCCCTGATGATCTCTTAGCCTCAAACCTCCAAAATTAACTTCTCCAACTGATCTTTCCACATTTTCTTCATGCATGTCCTAGTTCACTCTAGTCCTCTGGCATTAAAATTATACTTCTAAAGCACAAATTTGATCCTGTAATTTCCCAGCTCAAAAACCACCAGATAAACGCCTAAAGAATAAAACAAATCCCTTAGCACGAATTCAAAGCACTACACAATTTGTTTACAACCTACTTTACCCTTCTAACATACTCTCCTGCTACATACTGTACTCTCCAGCCACACCAAATTACTGGGTCCCTTCAAGAAGCAATCTCTCCCCAAAAATTATTTTCTATTTTTCTCCACTTAAATACACAAACACAAGTTTGAATCAGCCACGAAGGCGTGATTCAAATGACACCTTTCTCTAAAGTCTTTATCATCCCCCAATCAATCTTAATTATTTACTCTACAGAACTGCTTTAGCAATTACACATAACTACTGCACATCATATTTTCAGCGTCTAGTGCCGGGGGGGGTGGTGGTGGTGGTATCACGTTAAAGGATTAAATATTTCTCTGAACATTTTGTCTGTGTTACACAGAGACACATTTTTCGGTCATATTCGTGGAAACTTCTCTTTCCTCGCAGGACTCAACAACTTCATACGCTGTGGGTATTCAGTAAGTACTTAACAGAATGTGAGGCCTGCGCGGTATTTTCTCACATTCGGAGAGCGCGCATCGATGCTGCCTGAATGGAGGAGTTGATGGGAACCAGAATTTCTGGGTCTTTCTCCTTCCCGGGATCTTGGTCCCTTTTTCCAAGGGACGACTGGCAGAACAGGAACAGTGGCTCCAGCGTCCACTTGGGCGGAGCAGTCTATGGGGAAGATGAAAGGCCGGGGGAGGAGGTATGGAATGAGGTGGGACGAAACATTTCAGGTGGAGAGAGAATGGAGAACGACATCCCTCTCCTTAGCCCTGTGAAGGGCTGACTTACCTAGAGAATCTCCCCACCGCCTCACTCGCGCCTTTGCGGTTTTTCTTTCGGGTAGTGAACACGCTTCTATCCCGCGAGTTATCTCTTCCGGGACTCCTGGATAAGTTCCGGATCAAGATCCGCGAAGAGAACAGTCATTCTTCCTCTCGCCCCGCCCACAGGTCCCGAACCTAAACCCGAGCTGAAATCCGGCGACGATCCACGGAGGTTCCAGAAATGAGAGAGGAACTTTTGTTTTTTGGAGGCGGACCCCGGAGGGCTGGGGGGTGGGGAACGGACCGGAAGTGACGCGCGCGAGTTCCGGTTGGCCGGACCCCAGCGGCGGTGTGAGAGTCGGTCGCGAGCCGCTTGCAGGATTCTGATCCGGAGAAGCCGGGGTCAGAGCGGGTAGGTAAGCCCCCGCGTGGAATTGGGGACGGAAGCCTAAGACTGTCCTCAGAGCTTGGCTTCTTCCGGAGCTCTCCCACTTAGACCATGCAGATCTGGGGCACCGTGATTTCGACTTCAAGCAGTGTTTCAGGGCGCTGCTGACTCCAGTGCCTCAGTCTGGCGGTAGCCAGGTTATATGGGACACCTCCTCATGGTTGGCTACCAGTGCAGTGAACCCATACACTGGATTTCTTACCATTCGCTCTCATTGTCGCGGACTTGGAAGCTGTTCTAAGCTCTGTACAGTACCCATCTTTTCCTGCCTGGGTGTTTAGGACCTCAGAGTAAACGGAGATCCTCCCTGCTGATGACCAAGCTGTTTCTCAGGACCCGTCAGTTTGACCTCCCAACCACTGACACATGGTAACACATGATACTAAACGTATTCGCTGCTAAACAAAATTCAGGCATGTAAGTGCCATCTAAAGCGTTGGTGGCCAAGGGAATGGGGCCTTCGCTCCGTTGGTTTTTGCAAAGACCCTTCGCGGATCTCCTCCTACTTTATGAAGAGTAGGGTTCTCTACCTCTTCCGAATCCCTGACCGCCCCCCGCCCCTTGTTGTTATATTAGAGTGGAGGTATTTGCAATAAAACGTGGAGGTCAGCTTAACCTCTAAACTTCCAAGAAGCCATAGGTGGCCCTGTGTCACACTAAGATAACTTAATGACCTCCAGTAGGTTTAAACTATTATCTTTTGTTTTTCTGCAAATCCATGCAAAAATCTCTTATAGGTTCTGGCACTGTTTATCTATCATGGCAAGACGGCTCCTTTTCCTAACTTTAATGTCTTTCAATTCTCCTTTGGGGCTGATGGCAGAAATTTTGTAGACAGACTACACTGATTTTTTGGAGAAATGTGTACAAGTGTTTCTGGTGTTGTAATATAGAATTTAATGTTCTGACAGCTATTGCCTATTAATTGTGTTATGAGCTGTGATTTTAGTTGTGTATTTTTAGCATAAATGATAGTAAGAAATTATTTATTAGGCAACATTTTATGAATTCTAGAATGTGTTTTTATTGACCTTTGGAAGAAGGATGGTGGTACCTAGATAAATGTGGCCGATTTGTATGGGTGTGAAATGACTCTATAGTAGAAATCTTTTATATTTTACTTCTTTGCCTATATTATTTTAAAACACTAAAGCTTTTTTTTTCCCCTTTGAGGTATATATCCTACTTGATTAATACAGTTTAATTTCTGTGACTTACATTCCAGAATAAATATTGGTAGGTTACCTAACTTTCTGAGCTGGTCTGGATTGTGTTGATAAAATACTGCTTACTTATTTCATAGGATTGTCACAGTGATTAAGTGAGATAGTAAATGGGAAATCACTGTAGAAATGAAAATCCGGTGGTGTAGTTTACTCTGAAAGCTGGAAATATATCAGTGCAGAATTCTGTTGCTTGTATCATTTCACAGTTTGATGTTTTATATTAAGTGTGCTATTTATCTGAAAATATCACACACTTTTTTTTTTTAAGATTTTATTTATTTATTTGAGAGAGAGAGAATGAGAGAGAGAGAGAGAGAGCACATGAGAGGGGGGAGGGTCAGAGGCAGAAGCAGACTCCCTGCCGAGCAGGGAGCCCGATGCGGGACTCGATCCAGGGACTCCAGGATCATGACCTGAGCCGAAGGCAGTCGCTCAACCAACTGAGCCACCCAGGCACCCCTCACACACTTTTCTGAGATGATCTTTGCCCTACTTTTGAACCCAATAAAAGCTATCTAGGAATAGTTTGATACTGTAACCCATTGAATTAGTCACTGTGGTTAATAAGTCGGTGACTGGAAAATGAGTATAGTTTTGCATTTGGGAGTTTAAATCTGATCTTTCTTGGTCATCTTGTATTGTCACTTAAGAATTTCCAAGTACAGAGGAAGGTGAAGTTTTTGGTGCTTATATATGGTTAACTAAAGGTTAAAAGTAGCCTTACTTTATTAAGTAAAAAAACTATCATTTTACCGAAACCCACTGAAAGCAATATTTAGAATTAAAAGCAACCTCTGTGAACATATCGTTATAGTCTTCCCCAGAAACAATCAGTAATTGGCTTGCCTGAGGTCATGTGGTTTAGGTAGTGCCAGAACCTGAACTGGAAATGAGGTCCCAAGTGTTCTTTCTGTTCTGCTAAGGTTGTCTCCAGGCATCTTTTTATGGTTTGGTAATATTTCCTGGTTTGCATGAAAATGATGTCTTTTATGTATTAAAGGGATTTATAGGTATACATTTTCCCCCCTTTTTAGCTGATTTATTCTTGTAAATTCTAGGAAAACAAAAACACTGTACTTGGCAAGATTTGCAGTGGAATGGAATAAGGAAGGGTAAAAGAAAATTCTGTTCTTCAGAACAGCTATTCTGAATTCATGCTTCATTACTATCAGATAACAAGGTGTCTTCTTTCTGACAAGTGGAAAAGAGAGTATCTTTGTTACACATGTCTCTACTGAATGAATGTTGTTGGTAATAGGTAGGAGGAAACTATTAATTTCTTTGTTCATGCTAAAAAAATTTCCCCAAACTGTTTATAATTTTAATATTCTGTTATATTATCTATTAATCTGTAGAGTCATTTCTCTATTTTATTCTGGGTAAATAGCCACTGTAGGAATAGTTAACTCTTTGTCTTGTTGCGAACCTTTTTGCTTCTACTGATTTCACAAAACCTGTTTAGTCTTTCCCCGTTTTTGGAGATCAGAGGGCTAGATACTTACTATCACTGCTCTTTTGCCTAGTGCTCTTTGTTGGTGTCTCTCTCTCTCTCTTTGGTATAGAAATAAACGCCAGATTAGAGAATCTTTACTAACCTCAGAAACAAATTGGATGAGTTAAGTGATAATTTGTTGTTGTATTAGTTAATAATCTACCTTCACAGACTTGCAAACATTTTGAGGGGTAAACTTTTAAAGAGTTTATTGCTTCAAGAAACTCTGTTTGGGAAGCAACTTTGTATAGGATTTGCCAAACTGATATTATATATTATGTAAACCCTCTGTAAAGCTCATTTAAAAATATGCTCCTTGAAGGTTTTGGGAAATTTGAACAGGAGATACTTGTCTGTGTCAGATAAGATTAAGGCATTTAAAGCTTAAGGCATTTTTAAATTAAGCAAGGGCAACCCACTGAGTAATCCTATCCCAGCTTAATGGTAATTGCTGAAGAGTTTGTCGGTATCCAAAGATACATAGTCTTTTCAGTAGTGCATTGTGATGTTTTCTCTTGTTCTTGAAGTTCTTTAATAATAAGCTTGGTCTTTATAGATTTTTTTGGAAGGACTAGGTAGATAGTGTTAAGAGCCAGGGCCAAAAAGCTAGATTGCCTTGTTTCCAATTCCAGCTCTTACTACTGTGCAACCCTTTGGCTAGTTACTTCACCTCTTGCCATCTCAGTTTCCTCGTAGACAGTGAAGTCAGTACCTTTACTGTTAGGGTTAAATGAATAGATTTAAGTAAAGCATTTAGAATGGCATATAGTTAACCATGACTGTTATCATTGTTACCATCCAGTAGCCTGCTGAGCAGTTGCTAAGAGAAAACTCTTTCCCAATCCTCTTTGAAAGCATGTCTTTTCACTGCTGCTTACTTGATCATTGTTTGCTCAGTATTTTTGTTTTGTTTTGTTTCAAGTTTTTATTTAAATTCTAGTTAACATACAGGGTAATATTGGTTTCAGGAGTAGAATTTAGTGATTCATCACTTACATTTGGTGTTCATCACAAGTGCCCTCCTCAATGCCCATCACTCATTTAGCCCATCCCCCGCCCACCTCCCTCCATCAACCCTCAGTTTGTTCTCTATAGTTGAGTCTCTTATATTTTGTTTCCCTCTCTTTTTTCCCCTTCCCTTTGTTCATCTGTTTTGTTTCTTAAATTCCACATATGAGTGAAATCATATGGTATTTGTCTTTCTCTGACTGACTTATTTCACTTAGCATAATACACTCTAGCTCCACCCATGTCGTTGCAAATGACAAGATTTCATTCTTTTTGGTGGCTGAGTAATATTCCGTGTGTGTGTGTGTGTGTGTGTGTGTACACACACCACATCTTTATCCATCAGTTGATGGACATTTGGGCTGTTTCCATAATTTGGCTATTGTTGCCGCTATAAACATCAGGGTGCATGTTGTTTGCTCAGTATTAATGAAGGTTCAGTAAATAAATATGTATACATTTCATTGTGTGTATATTTCACAACATATGTGAGATTCTTTTAAAAAATGATGTATTTCTGTAGGCTCTTCTCTCAACCTTTTTGTGTTATTGTTAATAGTTTATTTGTGTAAGTCATAACAATTTGAGATTGAAATTGGAGAATTTGATGTTTAATGATATCTTCTAGCACTTTCTTTGCATGGGAAGATTATTCTGCAATGACATCTTTTGCCATATCTGTTCATTCATCCAGTCAGTGAGCAAAAATCTTGTATCTTGGTCTTTTACCAGGTTTTGGGGAAAACAGTGGGAAGCAGAGACAAACATATTTTAGTTGGGAGCCTGATAGAGAAACAGGTATTTCAGTCGGGAGCCTAACAGAGAAAAAAGTAAATACAGAAATAAAAGAATAAACACAGTGTAATAAATATTATGAAGTAAACAAGGGTCTGAGAGAGAGTTAATGTGGATATGTGCCTGTTCCACAGTATATCTGGAATATAGCGACATGAAATGAGGTAGGAAACATACTCATGGTCCAGATTATATAGAGCTTTGCAGGCCAT